TTAAAAAAAAAAGGGAACGGTCATGACAAAGCGATGAGTATTATTCATTAGGTCGTTTCTGATGGGCCCGTTAATTTTAGGCGATTCAGAGCCGGTAGCCTGAATTCACGTTGATGGCATGGACTATAGCACTAGAAAGTTCAGAATTCGTGCTGAATTCCTATTTTTTGACCCTAAAACACAAAAAATGAGGAACGGTCATGACGTAGCATTAAGTATCATTCATTAGGCCGTTTTCAATGGGCCCGCAAAATTTTAGGCAATTCGGAGCCAGTCTCCTGAGTTCATGCCGATGGCGTAGACTATAGCATACGAAAAATCGAAAATCATCCTGAATTCCTGTTTATTGCCCTTAAACGTCAAAAAATAAGAAATGATCATCGAGAAGCGATGAGTATTGTTCACTCGGCCATTTCTGATGGGGCCGTAAAATTTTAGGCAACTCAGTCGGATGCAAGAATTCATGCAGATGATGTGGATAGCACACGAAAATTCTGAAATCATGCTGAATTCCTGTTTTATTGCCTTAAAACACCAAAAAACGAGGAACGGTCATGGCGAAGTTATGACTATTATTCATTAGATCACTTCTTATTGGCGCGCAAAAATTTTAGGCAATTCGTAGCTAGTCGCCCGATTTCATGTGGATGGCATGGACTATAGCAAACGAAAATTTGAAAATCATGCTGAATTCCTGTTTTATGGCCTTAAAACGTCAAAAAACAAGGAATGATTATGAGGAAGCGATGAGTATTGTTCATTAGGCCGTTTCTGATGGGCCCACAAGATTTTAGGCGATTCAGAGTCAGTCGCCAGAGTTCATGCAGATGGCTTGGACAACACGAAAAGTCATAAATCGTGTTGAATTCTCGTTTTATGACCCTAAAATGCCAAAAATAAGGAATGGTCATGGAGAAACGATAACTATCTTTAATTAGATCATTTATGATGGGCCCGCAAAATAATAGGCAATTCAGAGTCGGTCTCTGTAGTTAGGGGTTTTAATGGATATTTAAAAACCGACTAAACCGACCGAACCGTACCGTACTGAACCGATTTTTAGCTTTCTTTTAATAAAACCGTAGGTTTTTATATAAATCTATAACCGTACCGATAATTAGGGTAGGTTTTTAATTTTATGAAAATAAACAGAAAAAATACCGAACCGTACCGAATAAAGTTACATGTGAAAAATATATTTATATATTAAGTTTAAAAATAATAAAGCATTAAATTTTCTGTGGGACTTGGAATTATGAAAACAGTTACAAGCCAAGAAGTAACTAAAACTCAATATTCTAATTCCCATACATATTATGTTACTCCTATTGAAACTAACTTATTTCCAGCATATTCACTAGCAAGACACAACGTATTATAGCGATTATGAGTAGCAAACTACAATGTATCGAATACGTTTCCTTTCGTATGATTTAAATATATCTTTTAGAATATTTAATCTTCTATAAACATTATTCTTGAATCTCAACTTGGTTAATATCTTTTCACTCATGTGATTTATATTTTTTTTGTCTTTACTTAGTTTCTATTATGCTGCTGTAGAATAGTTGATGGATCTATAATCTGGCAATATTTCATTTTCTTAATTCATCACCCTTTAAACAATAAAAATTTTTAGAGAGTATTGCTAAGTCCTATAAAAGTACATATATTATTGCATTCTACTTCTATTAATGATTTTTACATGTTATTTAAAAAATATCAAAAACTAACCGAACTGTACCGATACCGAAGAGAAACCGACATAATTAGGATGATTTCGAAAAGTGTAATTTTGGTTATACATAATAGAATAATCGAAAAATTGGTATGGTACAAATTTTATAAAATAACCGACCGTACCGAACCATTGACACCCCTAGCCGTAGTTCATGCAGATGGCGTTCACCATAGCAAATGAAAAATTTGAAATCGTGCTGAATTCCCGTTTTATGGTCCTAAAACTCCAAAAAATGAGGAATGGCCATGGCGAAACGATGACTAATCTTTATTAGGTTCAAAATTTTAGGCAATTCGGAGCCGCTCACCCGAGTTCGTGGACCAGCACACAAAAAATCGAAAATCGTGTTGAATTCCTGTTTCATAGTCCTAAAACTCTAAAAAATGAGGAACGGTCATGTCGAAGCGTTTACTATTCTTCATTAGGTCGTATCTGATGGGCCCGCAAAAGTTTAGATGATTTGGAGTCGGTCGCCCGAGTTTAGCTAGATAGCGTGCACTATAGCACACGAAAAATTGGAAATCGTGTTGAATTCTTGTTTTATGGCCCTAAAATTATTCATTAGGTCGTTTCTAATGGGCCCGTAAAATTTTAGGTGATTCGTAGCCGGTCACCATAATTCATGCAGATGGCGTAGACTATACCACACGAAAATTTGGAAATCGTCCTGAATTCCTCTTTTATGGACCTAAAACACCCAAAACTGAGGAACGGTCATGGCGAAGTGATGACTATTCTTTATTAGGTCATTTTTATGGGCGCGTAAAATTTTAGGCGTTTCGGAGCCGGTTGCCCGAGTTCATGAAGAAGGCGTGGGCGATAGCACAAGAAAATTCAGAAATCATCCCGAATTCCTGTTTTAAGGCCCTAAAATGCCAAAAAAACTAGGAACGGTCATGGAGAAGCGATGACTACTCTTCATTAGTTCGTTTATGATGGGCTTCAAAAATTTTAGACGATTTGGAACCGGTCGCCCGAGTTCATGAAAATGGCGTGGACCATAGCACACGAAAAATTGGAAATTGTACTAAATTCCTATTTTATGGCCCTAAAATGTCAAAAAAGGAGGAATGGTCATAGCGAAACAATGATTATTCTTCATTAGTTCGTTTCTGATGCGCCCGCAAAATTTTAGGTGATTCGGAGTTGGTCGCCCGAGTTTAGCCAGATAGCGTGCACCATAGCACACGAAAAATCGTGCTGAATTCCTGTTTTATGGCCTTAAATTATTCATTAGGTCGTTTTTTATGGGCCCGCAAAATTTTAAGCGGCTCGGAACCGGTCGCCCGAGTTCATGCAGGAGGCGTGGGGATACACATGAAAATTCGAAAATCGTCCCGAATTTATGTTACAAGGCCCTAAAACGCCAAAAAATCGAGGAACGGTCATGGTGAAGCGATGACTACTCTTCATTAGATCGTTTTTGATGGGCCTGCAGAATTTTAAACGATTCGGAACCGGTTGCCCGAGTTCATGCAAATGGCATGGATCATAGGACACGAAAATTTGGAAATTATGCTGAATTCCTGTTTTATGTCCCTAAAATGCTAAAAAACGAGGAATGATCATAGCGAAGCGATGACTATTCTTCATTAGTTCGTTTCTGATGGGCCCGCAAAATTTAAGGTGAATCGGAGCCGATCGCCCGAGCTCAGGCAGATGGCGTGGATTATTGCACACGAAAATTCGAAAATCGTCCCGAATTCATGTTTTATGGACCTAAAAAGCCAAAAAAAAGTTTAAGCTTTGTATACTGATCATGTATAAATTTTTACTTCATTAGTGTCCCGATCCAAAACCCATAGGACGTGATCGGCGCACCTGATCCAAGATTTGCTAAGCACCAGATAACTCACAAACAGCTAATCCGATGCATGTATAGTTAAAATGGAAAGTAGACACAGAGTAAGAACATATAACTTCCAGTAGGATTAATGTCAGCCTACCTCCTATAGCTGAACAGGAATAAGATACAAATGAATGGAATTGCATACAAATGAACTAGCAAATAAATAGCAGAGTTCAATTTTATTCCAAAAGTAAAAAGTGTCACATACATTGGTAGAGGAAGTACATATTCATTTGTTGCTTTGTGATTTTCCCATGTCGCGAAGAAAGTGAGTGTAGGAAACTGAGCATTGACACATGAGCTTCATAAGATAGTGCAATATTGTTCAATGACCCTTTTAAAATATGTCCTGTTATATGCCATCAAATGAGTAGGTGTATTTGTAAAGGGCAGCCTGATACACGAAGCATCTTGCATTCACACAGGGTCCGTGGAAGGGCCGCACCCCAAAAAGTGTGATGTAGGCAGCCTACCCTGATACAAGCATCAGTGACTAATTCCACGGCTCGAACTCGTGAACTATAGGTCACACAGAAACAACTTTACCGTTGCTTGAAAGCTCCCCGAACTGGTGCATTTGTACCTCCACATATTCCCACAAATGACACAAAGCAAACATTGAAAAATAAAGATTGCAGCTTATTTTTCGCGTTAATCAGCTACCAATGCATTAACATATATATGATAGTAAAGGCATAAAAATTGAAACCTACACAGCTGCAACAATCACTCCAGACTTTAGTTGCAAGTGTTCATTGCAACACAGGCATCTAGATGCAGAGGCGGATCCAGGATTTAAACTTTATAGGTTCTGATTCGCAATTCTACCAGATCTCATCTAATTTAATGGGTTCAAAATTTATACATATTTAATGATTTTTGGACAAAATACAGGGTATGAGCAAAAGCTATGGGTTTAGTTGAACCCATAGTTTCTACGCTAGATACGCCTCTGTCTAGTTGGACCATAGACGTCGACTTTTGGAGAATATATCATTCTTGGGAAGCTTCAAGTAACCTGTACATGAAAAAAGATACTTTGAAGGGAATGCTATTATGCCAAATTTCAGCACCAGTGAGTGTAGAATTCCGATTTTGCTTGAGTGTATTCAAATCCAGGCTGATTTACAGGTATAGAAACTATCTGGATCAGCAGTCCAAATTGGAGCTAATGATGCTTTCGGCTACTGGACTTTCGCTATCTAGGGTTGCTGCACTAGGGCCGCTTCGCCTTGCAGCATGACACTTGCTTTGCTCTCCCACAACCCCGTTTCTCACGTTTTAGGCTGCTCCGATTTCGCTTGCCTCTTTTGATCAACATCATTGGAATCAATTGAACAGATTCCTTCAATAGAAAATTTGGAGTTCGAAGCTGCAACCAACATTATTACTAGAAAAGAGGAGAGCAACTTGAAAATGGAAAACTTTCTGACTTAATTTAGCAAAGCTTAAGCAGTTTAAAGCACAGAGTTTCTAACAAGTTGATAGAGTAAAACAAGTCTAACTATGATAAATCCTCCGAATAAATATAGAGGATTCATATAACGGATCCCAGCTTGTTTCGGATTCTGGTCTAGTTAATATTTTGATCTAAATTAGACATCTAAGAGTAGCTAACAGAGTCTGATTAATTAGACTTGAAATTTTTTTGTTCCTCTTTTCTTCTTCTGCTGTTTTCAAGCTTTTGCCACCAGCATTTCCTTTTTTTGGGACTTCAGTTCTTCCACTCTCTTTTCGGTATCCTTCAGTGCTTTCCCATATATGCTTATCAACTGCAAAAACGAGAACGGTTTTTTCAGTTTTGCCTGAAACAGTTTGTAATCTGATAAACATTGATAACCAAAAGAGTCCAAGGAAATCAACATTCAAATGATCACAAAAAATGAGACCTTTAGTAGCGAATAATTAAAGTCGCCACATAGGTGAAAAAACGAGTCACTGAGAATATTCCAGTTGCTGAGACTTCCCGTGGCGACTCCTAAAATTCGCCATGAAAACCCTTACTTTTGTGACTACTAAGGGAGTCGCTAGGAAAAGTCACCGTTACTCCAACAACAACAACAACAACGACGACGACGACGACAAACCCAGTGAAATCACACAAGTGGGGTCTGGGGAGGGTGGTGTTTACGCAGATCATACTCCTACTTTATGAAGGCAGAGAGGTTTGTATACGGTAGACCCTCAGCTCAAGAACCAGGAAAAGTCACCGTTGAAAAGCCTTATTTGTTGTAGTGAATATAAATGTGATTCTTAAAATAACTGTAACATATGCAAAGCGACAGTGTCAAACATTTCACATGAACTTACCTCATCAAGTTCTTCCAGATTCAAAGTAAATGGAGGAGCCATATTTATGTAATCGCCAGCACAACTTACCAACATCCCGTACTTCTCACACTGTGCTCCAAAATATGGACCAACACCTGAGCAAATCATGAACAATTTAATAGGCAGCGAGTCGTTCAGATGAGACCCCGAAAACCAGGTTAGGAGTACAAAACGCAATGGACCTTCTCAGATAAGAGGAATTTAAGAAACATACCCCATTCAGGAGGAAAGGGATCATTAGGAGATTTGTTATCTACAAACTCAGTAGAAAGTACCAAACCAGTTCCCCTTATCTGAAAAAAATAAATATATTTGAATAAAATAAACAATTAATAGGTAATTAAGACGTCGTAATTAGCTACTTCTACCATGATAATTACTATTACCTCCCCAATTATGGGACTGTCAGAAAATGCTTTCAGACCTTCTTGGAACTTTGGTGATATTTTGTTCACTAGCTCAACAATATTTCTTTCCCTGAAAAATAATTTTGAATCTTTTTCAGCGCTTAAGCGGTAGGAAAGTTCAATTTATATATATATCGTAATTTGATTCAATACGGAGTTTAATAATAAAAGAAAAATATCGAAACTTGTGATCTTAAAGATAAGCAGAGCAGGTATTTTGTTAATTATTTGATTATCAAGCCAAATGCCGGGTCACTCAATCATATTAGCAACAACAAGCAGTGATTATTGAAAGTAAATTAGATGGGGAATTTTTTTAAAAAACAGAATTTCAGTGAGAAAAAAAGGTTGCATACTTGTAGATCTTCAGTGCTTCCAAGGCAACCGCACACGCGACTGGGTGCCCAGAATAAGTAAATCCATGGCAAAAAACGCCTGGATTCAAAAAATAAAAATTGAAGAAGTTATGAACAATTTGGTTAACAAAAAGGATTTTATATCCTATTGAACTGATATTATGCTCACCCATTTTATTGCTTTCAGAATGTATAACATCAGAAACTTCAGGACTTACAAGGACAGCACCAATTGGCATATATCCAGATGAAAGTGCCTGAAATAACATTTAAAGGGAGACATATCCAAAATCCAGATATAAGTTTAACTTTATACATCAATAATGTACAAGATGATCACTGACGGAGTTAGAAATTTATACAAGGAGATTCGAAAGTAACAATTCTTTAACCCTCTTTTTCTATGATATTACTGGCCGAGGCGTAAGTCTCACGAAACTAAGCCCCACACATAAGCCCAGAGGCGTTTTACGAGTGCTCTGCCCAGGCTAGCCCCGGGCGAGTCCCAATCCTGCCTTTTAAAAAGAGATATACATAACCAAAATATTTGCTTATGTCCTATTTTTACACTGTATAATTTTTTATCAGAGGGCATTCAATGGGTAAAATTGTATAGTAACCCTAATTGTTACATAAAAATGCATTAGACAACCTTCAATAACGGCTTAAAATATATTGATATTACTGTATATTTTCATAATTTGCATAGATTGGATAAAGTTAAAAAATCTACCTTTGCTACAGAGACGAGATCAGGTTTAATGTTGTACTTTTCACAGCCGAACATTGTCCCGAGCCTTCCAAATCCACATATGACCTCATCCGCAATGAAAAGAATGTCATACTTCTTGACTACAGCTTGGATCTGAAAATCAGTAGGATGAAGTATTGTTTCAGCAATTTGTAAGTATAAACACTAGGACAGTATATTCATTATTTACTTTTCCTATCCCGTATATAGATTATATAATGATTAGATGTAATTATACACATATTATACATATACATTATATATTTGCCGACTATTATATAATGATTAGATATAATTATACACATATTATACATATATATTATATATCTGCCGACTATTTTTACTTTAAGCGATTGATCGGGCTATTTAAATTAATTCTTCAATTCAAAACAAGACAAGAAACACTTGGCCCAAACTCATTCTTCTACTCTATTTTATTTATTAAATGACTAAGAAAGAAATAAGAATATCCAGCTAAATTCAGAAAAGTTTTGATTAAAAAAATAATCTCAAAACAAAAATCAAATTCTAATTTAAAATGCAAATATTTTTGTATTTTCTATTTTGATCCACAAACTAAAATTAAACTAAACCCAAAATAAATAAGAAAGTTCTAAAATCACTTGAAAAATTAGGGAGGGTCAATAGTTAGATGTTTGTTCACTATTCAAAAATCTCGTTAATACAAATTAAAAAGCTTGTAATCTTTTGTAGTATATGTTTTCTCTCTATAAAAATGAAAAACAAATCTGACCTTCTCAAAATAGGTTGCTGGAGGTGGAATGACACCTCCTCCCCCCATGACTGGTTCAGCAATGAAAGCAGCTACCTAAGTTAACACGAAAATTAATCACAGTCAGTTCACTATCTATATATAGTAAATATTTACCGGCATCCAATGTTTTTATTAACTCAAATTAATTTATCATGATGAAGTAGTCTAATGATCCAGTAAGAATATATATTGATTAATAATAATTGAGCGAGAGAACCTCTGTATATGAATAATATACATTATTCGTATATTGATTTGGTGTAAACAATCATTGCCGTTAAATTTGTAAAGGAAACACAATATAAGTGATAAAAGTAGGTGGAAGTTACTGTTTCAGGCCCCTCTTTAAGTATAAGATTTTCCAAATTATTTGCCAACCTTGTCGAGAACTCCTCTTCCGTCTCACCTGACATGCAACATGTTAGTGGGTACTTCTAGTAACTTACAACATAATCAGAGGCGGATTCAGGGTTTGTAATTGGCGGGGCACTACTATCAAATAAAAATTTAAGCAAATGCTGGAGTGAAAATCGAACCATGGCAGAACACTAAAAATCAAGATGCGCCCCATGTCGACCAATAAACCTGCCTAAGCTTTAAGTCTTAGGATGCCAATCAAAACATATACATGTTATTTAAGATATATATACATATATTTTTTCAGAAGTTACCGGGTGTCAGTGACCCCCTTACCCAAAGGGTAGGTCACCTTTGACCATAAAAGATCAGCAGAGATTGACTCAAGATTGAACTTTGTGGGTTCTAGATCATAGAATAATGATCTCATGTGTTAATAACTGAGTTTTGGATTTAATTATAGTACAATTTTAGTTAATTTCTTAACACATGGATTTGGACCAAAATTATTGGTTTTCCCAAAAGATTAGGGTACAATAAGAAATAAGGATAAATAAATACCTGGCAAATGATAACGCCAATAATGAGGGCAGTCAGTATGCAAAACAAATGAAGCTGGCAAATCGAACTTGTGATGTAGTGCAGGAATACTGCAAAAGAAAATATTAGTTAGTATAAATAATACTTGAAATAAATACTACCTTTCTTCCATTTTATACAAGGTTTTTTCTTTTTAAATTTTCATATTTGAAAATTCTTTTAGTTTTAATTTTTTAAATTTATCTTTAATAAAAACTCTTAATTAAAGCCATAGAAATATCGTAACTTAACTTCTTTTTTAATTAAAGTCGAATCAAATACCTTCATATAAAATAAAATAGAAGTATATTACCCAGAGAGGCTGGCGGAAATGAAAGTGGTCCCGTGGTATCTGTTTGAAAGTGACATGCATGAAGATTATTATGTAAGTCAAACGAAAAAAAATATAGAACACAAAAAAGAAAAAAAGAAAAAGAAAAAAAGAAAAAAAAAAAAAGAGCATGGATTGAGGAATCAGAGTACGCTTTTGCTTGAGCAATAAATTTCTTCTTCTTTGGCCTCCCAAGTGCATTGTTGTAATACCAAACTAGCTTCACCTACAGATTGACATGATGTAAGGGTCAAAGATTATTTAATATCCTTGAAAATCTTTACACAAAACGTCCTTGAGTTTTATAGATTGTGCAATTGAAGAGGAGCCTTAGAGCAACGATCGAGTTGTTTCTGTGTGACCTATAGATCACGGGTTTACACTGATGTGTGTATCAGGGTAGGCTACCTACATCACACTCTGGTGGGGTGCGACCCTTCCTTGGAATACTTTGTACACTAGGCTGCCCTTATTTTGTGCAGTTGAAGTTAAGCGTCACTATCATATATCTCGCCACCCTAAGATGGCTTTTATATAATAATAATAATAATAATAATAATAATAATAATAATAATAATAATAATAATGTCAACCTGAGTGTCATTGGCTTCTGATCCACTATTTGTGAAAAAAACTTTAGCCATTTTATTTGCAGTAAACAAATCTATGAGCTCCTTTGCAAGATCCTGTAATTTGAAAAGTAAAATTAGCCTGTAATCTAAGTAAAACATAATAGCCAAATCTGGACATCAATTGCTGAACTGAGAGTTTGACATATACCAAAGAAGGCTTTGTTGTACGATTCCAAAAAGAATGGTAAAATGGCAATGTGTTGAGTTGTTTATTTGCAGCTTCAACAAGACGAGGCTCATTTCCCCCTACAATAATTAAGTAAATAAAAGCACTCTCATACCAGCTTAAACTTTTAAATAAGATGATCACATATTTTAACGTGATATTAAAGCAGGATCCTGCTATCGAATTTCACCCTCATCTATTATCAAAAAAAATTCTCACGTGGATGCCTAAAGAAAAAAATCAAATCCATACGATAAAGGACGTACTGAAAATATAATTAAATAAATAAAAAGATTGTAACGTACCTAAGGGATTACACCACAAACCAGATAAAGTATCAAGGTACTTCTTCCCATTTATGTCATAAACATAGGAACCCTGTGCCAAATTAACACAAATATTGTTAAATTAACACAAAAAGTTTCTCAAGTAAATAACCAATAGAAAGATAGAAATCTAACCTCCGACTTTTCTATAATTAAAGGACCCATATCACTCTGCCACCCAGCAGTGAAGGGTGCTAACATATCATGTCCTCCAAATCTGCAAATGTAAATACATTCTGGTTACTCATTATAACTAAAATATATTTCTTTCGCTGAAGTAACTGAACTTTTTGTACTACAATAATAAGATGACTAAATCTTATCGTAAAACCACAAGACTAATTTTAACACATTAAAGTGATTGAAGAACTTTACCCATTAGCAATCTTGGCCATTCCTCCACGATTTCTTGGAAATTATAACTATATATAAAGAAACTATATCTGTCTCTGCTCTCTTCCTTTTTTCAAGCTAAGATTTATTTTAGCCAAAGTCTGGAGAAAGTTGAGGAGAACAAAAGAGAAAGATAAAGGCAAAGAAATAAAGAACGAGATAGAAAGGTTGACAATCGATATGTCCAAAGAAGGTAAAGATACATATATAAGAAAAAGTTGTGAGGGTCCATCTATGAGTTTAACTTATATTCACAAACAACATAAAGATTTTTACATTATTGTAACGATTCGACCGGTTGTTTTGAACATTTGCATTTCACTCGGTAGTTTGGGGCACGAGTAGCTCCGTATGATGTATTAGGACTTGTGTGCAAAATTTGAGTTCATTCCGAGTTGATTTGATATGTTTCGGCGCGAGTTTTGAAAGTCGAAAGTTCGAGTTCATTAAGTTTGATTTGAGACGCGTTTCGTCGTTTCAATGTTGTTATGCATGATTTGAGGCCTCGAGTTGGTCCTTGTTATGTTATGGGACGTGTTCGTATGTTCTTACGGGGTCCCGAGGGGCTCAGGTGAGTTTCGAATAAGTTTGGGTTGCGTTGCGCTCGTTTTTCTTATGTTTCGACGTCGTTTCTTCAAGCATAAATGGTACCACATTAAGCAAATGAGCTCTGATTTCTGTTTTGATTGAAGCACTAGATCTGTATCGTAATTATGGAGCCATACCAAAAAGAATCGTCGAATTTGGATATCGTATGAATTTATGGTCATTTTACTAAGAATTGGGTTGCCAGATTTTTTTTCCAGATTAATTATGAAATTACCACTGAATTCATATTAAAAAATCAGCATTATTTGCAAATATTGAAACCAATATATCTCCTTCATTATAAGATCAAATGGGGTGATTCAAAAGCCTAACTTGACTAAAATTTTACAATGAATCAATTGGAGGCATAAAAAGCGAGTTTCGGGATCGTTTGGCATGAGAAACGAGGTAGAATAGTCTGGCAGAAAAATATATAAAATATGGGTTTGTTCATTTGGTCATATTTTGAGTTGGGGAGCTCAGATTTAGGCGATTTTCATCATATGGATTGGGTTAAGTGTTCTCTACTCGGTTTTGGTTATATTTCATGAATCCATCTTCGTCTTTTTGATTTGACTGATGATCTCAAAGTAAAATTTGGGATTTTTGCCTAAAGTTTCATAAAGTGAATTTTATGTTTTGAACATCGATTCGGAGTCGGATTTGAGTGAAATTAGTATTATGGGACTCATAATTGAATGGGTTGTTGGATTTTATAATTTTATCCGAGTTCCGAGGTGCGGGGCCCGGGTTGGGCTTTTTGGCCGATTTTGGGCTTTTGATTAAAGATTCAACCTTTTTCAATTGGGATTAGTTCCTTTAGCATTGTTTGATGTATTTGAGTTGTTTTTGGTTAGTTTCGAGCCGTTCGGAGGTCGGGACGCGTGAGATGGCATTTTTGGAGCATCGCTTGGCTTGCTCGGTATTGGAATTGGCTTGTTCGAGGTAAGTAACGCTTCTAAACTTAGTGCTGAGGGTATGATACCCCGAATTACGTGCTATGTGATTGGTGTTCATGAGGTGACACACATGCTAGGTGACGGGCGTGTGGGCGTGCACCGTCTAAATTGTAACTCCGTTATTTCTATGATACTGTGTAGTTACCTGACCTTACCCGTAATCATGAAATCTCTACGTACTTGAGCTATTGAGCTGTGATCCATGTTAGACAACATGTCTAGGCTACATGCTTATCCTATTGGGACTCACTGAGGTCATTTCTGCTGTTGAGTTATCTGCTTTTATTGCTTTATATACTCAGTCACACACATTCATATGCATATCATATCTCAGTCTCTGTTGTTATTTATTGATACATCATATCACCATATTCAAGCTAGTTTCATGACATTGTGAGCCCGAGAGAGAGAGAGAGTCTAGAGAGATTGATGACTGAGTGAGGCCGAGGGCCTGATTGTGAGGATATTGATACTATAGCACGTGAGATGTCCGTGCGGATTCTGATACTGATACTTTAGCACGTGAGTTTTCCGTGCAGCGCGTGAGTTGTTCGTGTGAATTCTGATATTGATACTTTAGCACGTGAGTTGTCCGTGCGGATTATAGCGCTTGGTCTGTAGGAGCCCCTCCAGAGTCTGCACACCCCCAGTGAGCGCAGTCGACTATGTATGTGTATATATATATATATATATATATATATATATATATATATATATATATATATATATATATATATATATATATATATATCACACCCCCAGTGAGCGCAGTCGACTATGTATGGATCGGGTTGCACGCCGCAACGAGCCTTATGGCTATATGGATATGGATCGGGTTGCACACCACAACGAGCCTTATGGCTATATATATGTGGATCGGATTGCACGCCGCAACGAATATTGTACAGTGCTGAGTGATTGAGAGCGCTGAGTATTGAGCACGGTAAGAGAAAATGCGATACAGTGAGGTTGAGTACATAAATTCATCACCGAGAGGCATTGCATTTGACAAGCGTACTTTAAATACATGCATAGAGATGCATTTTCTTTCTGCTGCCCCGTTTTGGTGACATTCATGATTTTTACCTGTATCTTGACATGTAGGCATAGAGATGTACTTTCCTCATGCTATCTGAAAACGAAATATTTTACTGATGAATGGTTTTTGGGAAAAATTATAGTTTTCGAGCTATCTCATATTTTTCGACGATTTCGGTTAAGGATTTGGGTTTTCACTGATATTCTAGAAAAGCGGAATTATTTTCGAAAAAATTGTGAAAAAGTTAAGCATTTTATCTCTGAGTTACTTCCTTATTTATATGCTTTACGTGCTTATGAACTGTTATTGGCTACCGGTGTTGGACCCGACCTATGCTCCAGCTCGTCACTAATTTCAACCTAAGGTTAGGTTTGTTACTTACAAGTACATGGGGTCGGTTGTACTGATACTACACTTCTGCACATTGTTGATACCCAATTTTTCTCCATATATTTTCAATACATATATATACTTTCAAAATAGTACATATGCAGTTATTAGCATGCGTAAGCATTTTTATAATTTTTCTATAATTTTAAGAGCTCCAAAATCAATTTATTTCTTCTCTTTTATTTATAAAATATCCAATAATTATTCTTCAAATTACTTTTCTGATGATTTAGTCATCTAAATTCTTTATATATGCCAAATAGTATTTAAACATTTTCAGTGCATTTTTTGTAATTATATTTACATTTTTAGGCTAAATTGCAAATCTTTGCAATAATAGCCCTACTAATGCATAATTACATTATTGATGCATAAAATGGTCTTTTATATTTTTAAAATGTTAAATAAGTATTTTAATTTATTTTAGTACACGAAAACATTTTTTTGGAAATCAATTGCTATTTTATAAATTGTATAGTTATTAAAAGTGGTTATTTAAAATCTGGCCTATTTATTTCAATTTCAGCCCTATTCCAACCCAATACCAGCCCAATTTTTAATTAAAATTACCTAGCCCAAACCATGAATACCCGATCCGGCCCCAATACCCTTTAATCTCGGCCGTTGATCATAAAGATTAACGGCCACAAACAACCCTTCCTAAAATAAACCAAACCCCCCCCCCCCCCCAAACCCCTGTCATTGTACACCATCCGCCGCCCTGAAAACCCCCTCCTCTCTCAAACGCTCTCAAACCTAACCCTAATCAAACCTCACCGACACTCGTCCATGGCTATCTATAGTGGTTTCTCACCACCTCCCAGGTCTCTAAAGGCTTCTCTCACGTTATTATTGCCATCTCCAAGGTCCTCAAGGGACCAGGGCTAGTTGGCTTGCATCTATGGTTCCTTTCTCGCCTGTTTCAGGCCGTTCCAGTGTGATTCCAAGTAAGATCGTCCTATATTGACTACGATCTATGGGTTTCTAAGCATGTTTCTTCAAGTCTGTGTTGTTCTCTTCGAAACCCTAACTTCTTTTTATGAACCTCTTAGATCTTTACAGATCCTAGATGATTTGGACTTGTTTCATGTGAGCTTTACAACAACCTTGAGATTCTTTACAAGAATCGTATGATTTTCAATTGATTTTCATCCTTTTCTAAACTAGGGTTTCCGGAATTTCTTTTTACAAAATGTTTGATGATTTTTTTTAGTGTTTGATCTTCTGCTTCTCATAGGTTTTGACTGATTTTGTAAGTTTTGCTACAACCTTAACTCGCTTGTACTGAAAACCCTAATTTTCTGATGTTCTTCGTTTGATTTCTAGGTACTGGTATATCGATTGTGTTCTTGCTTTGGGTTCTTATGATTTCTCGTGATTTTCTTGTCCAAATATTCTTCTGCTGAATTTCTTAGTTCAACCATTTCACTGATTCTATATGCTTGTGTTCATCCTGACTATTCATGTTAAAACCTTTATCTTTCTCCTTGAATCAGTATCGTTTTAACTATTTGTTTTGATACAGTTATGTGTCGAATCCTGACTACTCATGTCTTGCCTTATTTTATATGCTAAACTTGCTGACTCTTTCATGATTTTTTCTCTTTGATTGAACCTTTGATTATTTTGAATCCCTTATTTCCTGGTTTGATTTGAACACTTTCCCTTAAACTTTCAATTCTTACCTCTCTACTTGATTTAATTGAACTGTTTGCCTTAATTAATTTTCCCTTGCCTTGTTTGTATTTTTGCTGATTCTTACTGATTGTTTCCTTAGTTGAAACTTCTGTTCATTTACCCCTAATTACCTACTCTATACCAAAATTTACTTGATTCTTTTTCTTAAATACCTAGCATATTTTTACCGTTGATTTGATTATCCCTTGATTAAGGGAAGTACTTGCTGATTTACATATGTGATTCGTTCCACAAACTTCCCTGGTTTGCTACCTGATTGATCTCTTACCTTATTTTGTTAATCTTTTGATTACTATATAAACCCCCTCTTCTTTTAACTTCTAAACAACTAATATAGTTCAAAACCACTACTTCTTACACTCAAAAGGCTCTCTTTCTGCTCTCTTTACTACTTGTGATCTTTGTCATTCTAGCCGGCTGCAAGCCAAGGCTGGAAGTTGCACACTACCTTTCCCACATCTTGTGCTTTTCATTCTTTAACTAGGT